AAGGAAATGGGGGCTAAAGATTTCTGATGATTAGGTGGGAAACTGGAGACACAGTCTGTGAATAAGCAGTTCGTTAAACAATATTAAAACCAAGCCATGCACTGGTGACTCAAGCCTGTCATCAAAGCGACTCAGGAGGCTGAGTCTGAGGATTGTGGTTCAAAGTCAGTCTGGGCAAAAAACCTTATCTTCAATTAACCAGTTAAATAACAACTACAGTGAAAAGCCAGAAATGAAGGTGTGGCTAAGTGGTTGAGCAGAAAACTAAGCAAGAGAGCAAGCCCTAGTACCAGCACACACATAAACACAATCAATCAATCAATCATTTTGACCCATATACAAGTGCCTCTATCCATTCTTCTTTCACAACCCTTGGCTCAAGGCTTTGGCCTCATTAGCTTGAGGTCCCATGATGAATGGCATTAGCATTGAAGATCCCTAAAAAAGCCAAGGTAAGGACAGATAGTAGGAAAGGTTTTGTATCCTCACCAGGAAGGTTGAAGACCTGCACCTGTTACTTCTCCTCTGGGTGACATTTCCAGTTACTAATAACAAGATGGAAAACTGGAAACACAGTCCATGTATAAGCAGTTTGTTAAAATAAATAAATAAAAAGGGACCTGGACCCTGGTGGCTCATGCCCGTAATCCTAGCTACTCAGGAGACTGAGATCTGAGGACCATGGTTAGAAGCTAGATTTATTTTTTATTTTTTTTATTTTTGCCAGTTTTGAACTCTGAGCCTGGGTGCTGTCCCTAAGTTCCTTTTGCTCCAGGATAGCACTCTACCACTTGAGCTACAGCACCACTTCCAGTTTTTTTTCTGTGATAAACTGGAGATAAGAGTCTCACAGACTTTTCTGCTCTGGCTGACTTTGAACTGAGTTCCTTAGATCTTAGCCTCCTGAGTAACTAGGATTACAGGTGTGAGCCACCAACAATAGGTAGCTCAAAGTGTAGCTGTGGCTCAAGTGATAGAGTGCCAGCTTTGAGCAAAAAACTCAGGGACAGGACAGCACCCAGACCCTGAGTCCAAGTCCCAGAACCAAACAAAAAATAATTAAAAATGGGGTAGCAAGGAGACAGTGGGAGGAGAGAGAGATTCACCATTTATCAGGTATATGTCAGGTGTGAACAGTCCACAGTGTAGGCTAGGAGCAGACAAGGCACCCACCCACGGAAAAACCAATCATCTGTTTTGGAAAGCCCAATGACAATCAAGTAAATGCACAAATATATGAAGCAACCATAGTAAGATAAAAAGTGCAGGTCAGGGTGCTTAAAAGAGTCCTTGTGAATCCAGCACTGGTGGTTCACGCCTCCAAATATAACTATTCAGGAGGTGAGATCTGAGGATCATGATTCGAAGTCAGCCTAGACAAAAACGTCTGTGAAATTCTTTTTTTTTTTTTTTTTTTTTGCCAGTCATGGTGCCTGAACTCTGGGCCTGGGCACTGTCCCTCAGCTCTTCAGCTCAAGGCTAGTACTCTACCACTTGAGCCACAGCACCACTTCCAGCTTTTTCTGCTTATGTGGTGCTGAGGAATCGAACCCGGGGCCTCATGCGTGCAAGGCAAGCACTCTACCACTGAGCCACCTTCCCAGCCCCAACGTCTGTGAAATTCTTATCTTAAATTACCTAGCAATAAGTCATAAGTGGGAGCTGTGGCTCAAGTGGTAGAATGCCAGCCTTGAGGGGGAAAAAAGCTAAGCAACAGTGCCTAGGTCCTGAGTTCAAATCCCAGAAACACACACACACACACACACACACACACACACACACACACAGGGTCTCTGTGAAGAGGTGGCATTGAAGCCAAGAGCTGTAGGATGAGAGGGAGCCAGCCTTGGGGGCAGTATGGAAAAAAAAAAAAAAAAACACCAGTCAGAGGCAATAGCTAAGGTGAAAGTTTCGGGGCTACAATGAACTCAGGACCAGGAGGAAGAGGTGTGTGGCTGGTTCTGAGTGAGAAAGAGAATGAGGGGAGGTGACATCAGTAACTTGGGGGGCAGCCAAACCCTGGTGGCTCATGCCTATAATTCTAGCTACTCAGGAGGCTGAGATCTGAGGATCAAGGTTCATAGCCAGCCTGGGCAGGAAAGTCCATGAGACTCTTATCTCCAATAAACTCTCAAGAAAAAGCTGGAAGTGATGTTGTGGCTAAAGTTGTAGCACTAGCCTTGAGCTCAAGGACAGAGCCCAAAGCACTGAGTTCAAGCCCCAGTCCTGACACTTCAGCTTCCTGAGTAGCTAACAGCCATCAGGGCTAGATAACACTTTATTATATATTATCTCATTTAATGCCCATGACAGTCCCAATAGGAGAGCTCAGTCCTGAAAGTACCAGTTCTGGTTCAGTTTCAGTCAGTGGTTACTCTGGTTTTTTCCCCCTGGGAGTAGTCTTGTCACTGGGAGGAAGATAAAGGCCCAGAAGGCCCTCCCTCTGCTGGTGCAACCTATACTGTAAAAGTGATGAAAGAGGTCCAAGATTAAAGCTGGATTCTTAGAGCAAAATCTCTATGGTGGGAAGACTGGGCTGGTGTGCAGCTTTGATCAAGTGACCCAGGGAAAATAAAATAAATAAATAAATAAAATAAGACAAAACACCTCAAATCCAATTTCCTTTGGAGTCCTCTAGGGAGCTAGAGGAGGAGAGCAGAAGAGGAGACTCCAAATTGTTTCCTTCTTGTTATGACCTTCATTGCTATACTTTGCTCAAGCAGTAATTACTGAATGTAGTAGTTAAAATGTGCCTTTCCTAGGAAGGTCCTCCGTTTACCTTCCCATGGTTGAGGTGTGTATGAGCTAAAATCCTCAGGTCTCAGCTTTACTTGGGCTGCTTGGCCCAGGGAAGAGGGAGGACCCTTTTGCAAACTCCTGTGCCCAGAAGCAGAGCCAGTTTTCTGATTTTCAATAAAAGGAAGCAGGGTCTGCTAGAGATAAGGGTGTAATAGAATAGAGTGTGAGCTTGTAGTTCACACACTGTAAAGGAGGCTCAAACTGAGAGCTCCTCTGAGGAAAAATCAAGGAACTGGGGAGGAAAGAAGTTCATATTTTATTTAGATCAACCGGCTGTGGTAAAGCTTGCTGAGGCAGAACCACTGATCTACTCCCTGAGAAGATAGAGAGAGCCACACAAAGGTTTAGTTGTACGTGTGTGTGTGTGAGTGTGCATGTGTGCACACATGTGCTAGTGCTGGGGCTTGAACTTAGGGTCTTATGCCCTTGCTTGGCTTTTTCCCCAGGGCAGATGCTCTACCACTTGGGCTAAACCTTCACTTGGAGCTTTTTTGCTAGTTGATTGCAGATAGGAGTCTGTCAGCTTTGTCTGCCCAGGCTGACTTTGAACAGGGATCTTCAGATCTCAGCCTCCTGAGTAGCTAGAATTACACTCAGGAGCCATCACGCATCCAGATTCACCCAAAGGTTTAGATAGAGGAAGAAGTTTCTAGAGAAGAGAAGAGCAAATTTGCAAAAACTACTCAGGAGGCTGAGATCTGAACATCCTTGTTCAGAGTCAGCCTGAGCAGACAAAGCTGACAGACTGGTCTAGAGCTGGTGGTGGTAAGTCACTAGGGTCAGTGGCCGAGCTGGAAAAGCAGAACATGAAGAGGGCATGTGTGGAATGTGGCAGAGAATAGGGTATCAGGGAAGAAGCAGTTAAGGGATTAGCACTGGAGCAAGGAGTCCAGATTCTCTGTGGTCCAGGAAGTCTTTCTTCAGATCCCTCAGCATCGTGATGCACCCATTAGCAGTCTTGGGTGACTGCATGTTTGTTTAGTATTTCAGCCCAGTCATTTTAACTTCCAGGGCTTGGGGTTCCTGCACGTCCTCCTGGAGCCTGGTACAGGGTCTGGCATATGGGTGCCAGCTGATGCTTTGCCAAATAGGGCTGAATGGAGACAAACCCTGAACCGAAAGTTTGGAGAAGGGCTCCATGCACGGGCTGAGTGTCCAGAGGATGCATGGTACTGGACCTGCGTGTGGAAGGGGCCCAAGTACAGGTTCGGGTCACCTCCCCACCACTTTGGTAGGGAGAGCAGGCAGGTGTCACAGGGCAGAGGGCACTGACTGAACTCAGTTCTAAACATAAGTGTACACTCACCCAACATCTGGGGTCTTTGATAGGAAGAAACCCAGAGTTCGTGGAACAGTGCACACGGATCACAGCGTGGACCACATTCCATGGCTGAGGACACTAAGATCCCAGGGTCAAAGCAGGTCTTGGTGTTTTCAGGCCTGGGCCAAGGCAAGTGGAGAGCCCCAAACCCCTGCTGTGCATCGGCAGGGCTCCAGCAATAGAAGCAAAGCAGGAGGAGCTCAAATCCCTGGTCCGAAACATGCCCAGCAGACTTGAGGCCAGGATCAGATCCTGGAGTGCACAGGAACCGCACAAAATGCACCTGGTGCACCACCACTCAGCGTGTACCAGTCAGAGCCCAACAACCCAACTCTGGCACTTTCTTATTGCTCCTCCAGGTAGGGGAGCACGGGCAGAGCGGGCTGCACCATTGTGACTCAGGAGGGGGAAGCCCTAACATCGGATGTCAGGGTCACCCCGGGTAGACTGAAACCCTTCATGAGAAGATGGAGGTCGACGTCTACAGGTGTTTGCTAGAAAGTCTGTAAGAGGGTGTTGCAGGCCTGGCTGCTCCACGGTGCCCGACATCGGTGTTGGCGGAGAAGACCCGCCCCCCATGGCGGTGACTTAGTGGTAGCATCCGGTTCCCTGGTTGGCAAATGTCGGGCCGGTGCTGCAGCCGCTTGTGCTTGCAGAGTTGCTGCCAAAGCCGCCAGGCGTTCACGTGGATGGGCGCGGAGCCTGGAGTGGGTGGAACCGGTAGGGCGCGGCTGACTGTCCCAATGAGGCATAAGGAGAAGTGGATTCTGCAGGCGGTGTCTCTGGTACTGGTGGCCCTAGTCTTCCTGCCGAACATGGGGCTGTGGGCTCTGTACCAAGAGCAGCAGCCAAAAGGCATGCCCGGGAGGTCGGGAGCAGCATGGTCTCCACGGTGGGACAGGTGAGTGCCTTGGGTGTGGTGGGGCTAGGTGGGGCCATCTGATTTCACTTCAAACCTTAAGCTCCTTCTCTCTCCTCCTCCTCCTGTCGGTGTCCTCAGAGGCAGCCCCTGAAGACTCTGCACTTTTTTCCATTCCTCCCCCACCCAGATGGGGTAAATTGAGGCTCCAAGGACAGGGATTTGTCCACTAAGCAGAGTCAGAATTAGAACCCAGGGCCCTTAGTGCCCATTATGAAACTCTTATTTCTATTTTCCATACTTTACAGTTTGCCTGCCTTTCCGTTGCCCTCTCCTGTCCTCTGACCTTGTTCTCTTTCTGGGTAGTACCCTGTTTGCACAAGCCTGTATCCCCAGGGTGTGATTCTTTCTGTAGGACCGGTTCCCCCATCACTTCTGCTCCCCTCCCTCACCCCCACCTGCTGATCCTGCTGTTTTTACTCAGGTCAGTCCCTTTCATGTTTTGCCATTTGCACAGGGACCCCTGGAACTCCCTGCCCCTTTTACCTATTCTTTACCTGTCCTATTTCTGTCTCAGATCCTGTGAATTCCTTGGGGAGTGAGTGCAAAGATCCTCTTGGAGCTTTTGGTCCCTTGGATGGGGTGAAAGGTCAATTTCTGGTTCTTGAGGAATTTGCCACCTTTTATCCTCTAGGAGTATAGAGGTGTCCAGGTAGAGGGATCCCCAAAATTTCCCAGAGCGCTGTCCCCTGAGGGCAGAATGCCACATACATTCCTTCTCTACTTCTTTCTGATAGGATGTGCTATTTCTTGCAGCCCGAACTGTGATAATAATTGTTTTTGCCTCTTTGAAACTCACCCATGTCTCACGTATGTGTACCTGCATATGGAATAAATGATGATTTTTCTTCATGTGCATGTGTGTGCATGTTCAGATCATGGCTCTTGAACTCAGGCCCTGGGTGTTGTCCTTTAGTTGTTTTTCACTCATGGCTGGTATTCTACCACCTAATCCACAGCTCCACTTCTGGCTTTTTGGTGGTTCATTAAAGATAAAAGTCCTACAGACTTTCCTGGGTGGGCTGGCTTAGAACTAGGATTCTTAGACCTCAGCTTCCTGAGTAGCTAGAATTACAGGTGTGAGTTACCAGCTCCTGGCTTGGATTTACATTTTCCTGCACAATCACATCACTCTACCTCTCTCACCTCCTGGCAAATCTATGCATGCTTGAATTGCTTTGTATATTGGGACATTTCAGATTTGCTTAGGGGATTTTTGTGGTCCCATGGGAAGTGGATAATGTTCATATCAGGGTTGGCTGCCCTCAATGGAAGAGGCTGACTTTTTGAGGTTGATTGGTTTTCCTTTCTCCTCAGTGTCAGGCCGTTGCCTGGCCTTTCTGGTATCTTGAGCACAGACAGTTCTTTGCCACAGGGGGGATCAATTGGAGCTTAGCAATTACCCTAGTTAATTGTTGCAAACCATCCAAGAGGAGTTGGCTTGATCTTTCTGGTACATCTTAACTGTTCAGAAACTAAGGAAAGTTAGCAAGGTCCTTTCCTAAACCCTGAGTTCAAACCCTGATAGCCTGCCTAGCCTTTTCCCCCTTAAATTCTGTGTCTTGTATGTTTTCCTTTCTTGAAATCTCCTTCAATTCCTATCCTGTACCAGTATCAGGGAGAAGAGGCCAGGGCTGTGTTTGGCTTTGTCATTAACTTGCTGTATGTGCTTATCATCCACCAACTCCTTCTCTTGGTTGAGTTGCCAGCATTCTGTGATGTGATCAGTGAGTGGACACAGGTCTACTGCTTTTTCCTGTGGTATTGTCCCTGACAGCGTCCCTAGGTTCAGGGGTTCTATATTGGCAAAGCCCCAGGCAAAGGGGGTGTGTCCTGCCCAAGTGCACGTCTCCTGTGGAATAGCTGTGACCAGGTCTAAAAGAGCTCTTGACAGTCTGCCTTTTCCTAAAGAAAGCTGTCATATTTCAGTTGAGGCAGGTGCCAAAGAAGTTCTGATTTTCATCTCCTATAGACTTAGATGTGTAGAGAGAAGGTCAAAGTTAACTGCCAGTTTGGCCTGAGCTTTCAAAGAAAAGTACTCACATGTACAAGAAGGTATTGATTGAATAAAGCAGTCTTTGGGGCAGAAAGAGAGGAGAGCAACAGCTGGATGGATGCTCCTTGGAACACACCTGCAGTGTGTGGATAGCTCAGGGGGCAGGTTTTATTCCTGTTTAATTTCTTTTTCTCTGGAATAGCATAAAGAGGAGGAGGAGGAGGAAGTGGGGAATGGGATTGGTGTTTCAAGGGTTGTCAACTGGCTGTTCTTCCTTTACAGAAAATTTCTCCTTCCTGGGTGCAGCAGAAGAGCTCTTTTGCAATGATAGGCTTTTCTAGGTGCTATAAGGTTCAGCATTCAGCTGCTGCCTTTCAGGAAGATCCTGCCAAATTTCCACACAGCCCTTTTGTGTTCTACTCTCTTTGCAGAGGAAGAGCCCTGGGCTTGGCCTTCCCAGTTAGTTCCTTGTTTGAATGGCAGTTGGCCTTGAAGGAAGAGGCTGACTTTCTTCCAGTCTTCATTCCACACTATCCCTGTGCATGCATGCAATGCATCAGGCTGCTGTCTGGGAAATCTGCTATCTGAAGCACTCTGCGCTGTTATGAATGGTTGACCAGTTGGTTCTAAGCTCAGTCTGTCACTCTGGTAATTGTTGAGAACCTTCCCACAATACCTCCTCATTGATCTTCCTCGTAGAAGTAACCACAGAGGCTCTGGAGGGAAGACTTGACAGGACTTTTGTCCAAAAAAAATTAGGTTCCTTGTGGATTTGAGAGAAGTTTATCTGAGGGCAATGAACCCACTATTTGAACAGTCCTCTTTAACTCTTTGATTCTTCCACTGAAGATTAAAAGAGCACTTAGCTGTCATTTGGTAGAATGTAAGTCACAGAACTGCCACCTAGTTCATCCTGAGTGTGACTCTGGAGCTAGGCAGGACATCTGATTTATAAAGGACACATAATGGTCACATCTGAATTTGTTGTGGCCACACCTTTCTCTACCCATACCCTAGATAAGGCCTACCCCAGGCCCAGATGCCCTCTCTCTGCTCTTTTCTAGCTCCTTCTCAGCTCTTTCCTTCCCTTCACCTTCCCAGTTCCCTTCTCTTTCCTAGCTCTCTCTTTTCCACCTTACCCAGATGCTCTCTTTTCTAGCTCTTTTCTCTCTCTTTCCCAGCTCTCTCTTTCCCAGGCCTTTCCCAGCCATGTGGAGGTCCATCGTGGCCTGGTGCCAGCCGGAACAATGAATAATCCTACACCTTACCTGAAAAAATAAATAAAGGACACATAATGCTTCTAGGGTTTCTGAATTCATGTGGTCAGACAGCTGGCTTCTCAGAAAGCTGCAAACCAAGTAGGAAAGCCAGCCGTGACGCCATCTTTCTTTTTCTTTTAATTTGTGGCTTGCTCTCATTACTATCCCCCCTGCTTATCTGCCTAACACTTGGTTTAATTCTAGAATCTGTTTCATATTTCAGGCGTGGGAACTGGTTATTAAAAGCCCACATTAGGAAACTTGATGCGGTCCCTTCCTACTTCTGAGCCATAATCTCTGGTGAGAACTGACTTAATTGGATAATAGCTTCAGTGGAATGGAAATTGGTGGGATAATGGAGTACCAATGACTTTAATTTTCAAGGATCAGGAGTTTTCCTCATATCAGAGCTGAACTTTATTTTTATCACATGCAAAAATTAATACTTTCCTCTTCACCCCGCCTCCCTACTTCCTTTCATTCTTCTCAGCAAAATCGCACCCATCAGAAAGTTAAGTGCTTGGAAATGTAGCCTGGAATGATTTCTGTAATTTTCTTCATAGGGGCTGGTGGCCTTAGATTGCTAATCTCTGCCTGCTTAGTGTGGTGAAATCTGATGTCATTTGGGAAGGACTGTTGATTTAGCCAAGCAAATCTCTGTGTGTTGTTGTTTTTCTTGGCTTGCTTCTACCAAGGAGCCCCACTGATGATAGTCTGGGGAGAGAGGCCTGGTTTCTGGTCTTCTTTCCTGCACTAAACTCCCTCAGTGACCTTAGGAAAGTGGTTTAACTACTCTGGACTTGGATTACTCCTTTGTGAAGTTAGTTTAAATTCCAAAGGAGGAAAGGCGAAAATGTATTAGAATGGTGTTTCCTCTCCTGTGGTCAAGACAGATATTATTAATCCATCTCTCCCCTCCCATGGCTAGAACAGACATTACTAATTAAGTCTACTAAGCCTGGAATCAGCTGGTCTCAAACTAGTTCTCAATACTGCTGCTCAAGTGAAGTTAATGATGGAGTAATTCTGGTGAGGTAAGAAATAGATATTTTTGACACAGGGGAACAAACTCAGTGGTAGTACTCACTAGACCATATGTGGCAAATGAACTATACAAGTTTTGGATGGGAAAGGGAAGGAAAAACTGGGAGAAGGTGAGAGATGGAGTGATATTGCTAAAAAGAATCGTACTTTTTTTTCCAACTAAAATAATTATAGCCCCTCTGCACATCACCTTTATACTAACAATAATTATTTTAAATGACATAGGTCTTTGTTAGGACTTTCTATCTCTAAGGTCCTGTGGTTCTGAGTTTAGCAGCACATATTGGAAAGCTTTGGACTTTAAGACTTCGAATGTAATCTTTGAGGAGGCCCTAACTTGAGAGCTTGTTCATATTGTAATACCATCTCTCAGGTTTTGGTCTAAAGTTGTTCAGCCTTTAATCTGTTGGCTCTGGTGCGAGATAACAGATAAGGGAATCAATAATGGAAAAGCAAAGGCTTATTGAAAAGATAACCATGTAGCAATGATTAGGTAACCATTTAATTATTTCTTGTCCACAGTCAGCTGTTATATTGAGATGGCATCAAGAATATCATCACTGTGTAAAGAAATACCTGGAGGTGAACTTGGCAGCTGGAAATATGTCCTGTACTACCTAATTTTCCCTAATGATATTTGAGTTGTGTGAGCCAGTTGTGTGCGTGTCTTAAGTATTTTGCGTATACCTGACCTTTGCATCTTATATTTGGGTCATAGTCAGAAAGAGAAAGACTTAAATGAGACTTTTGCTTCTCCAACAACCACAATGGCATGGGGAATGGAGGTAGCTTATCTAGCCTTTGTAGCATGTACAATTTAATGGGGAAAGGATGTAGCCTGTTGCGGTTCCTGTGGCTAAGAAGTGCATCATGGCCTCAGTAGGTGGAGATGTCTTGACACTGTGTTCTTTAAGTACATAGCACATGGTGTGGCACTTGGAAAACTGGATTTTTGCTGAGTGAGTGTTAAAGTGGAGGGAGGTGCTTGAGAAGTCACTAGTCCATTATGGAAATAGGCAGCAAAAGGGACATCACATACTCGAGTTCTCACAGGAGGAATGCAGACATGAACACAGTGCTCTCCAAGTCCTCTGTGTTCTGCTGCAAAGACTTTCTTCCCTCCAC